GACACATGATGAAATTTGGTTTTTGGTTTTCTTTAAATATAAATATATATATATATGAAATTATCCACGTAAAAGCTTAAAAATGAAGTTGCAAAGTCAAGCACTCAAAAGATAGGAAAAGCCAGGATGAAGGTTGTTGGTCCAACCTTTACATGGCCCTCTTGTGCATATGCATTGATACTCTTTCAGTACATGATCACATACTATTTTTTCCCCACTGGACCCCTGCCTCGTTCAGGACCTCCTCTGGAGATGAGTCAGGGTTGTGTAGTGAAAGAGGCTGTTGTCTGTGGGATCCTGCTTCATTTGTGGCAGACGTGGGAAGGTGTGATGCATCCTGGGGGTGCCCAGGGCTGCGAGGCACCTTGCTGCCACCTGCCCTTAGCCTGAGGAAGTGTTGTCTGTGCCTGCCAATGGTCAGCCCCCTGTCTCCACCAGCAACAGGCAACACAAGCACTCCCCTCTCAGCCTAGACAGACTCTGCTGTGCTTGTGCAGGTAAGCAACAGGCGCACTCCAACTCCTGAGTATTCCAAGCATCCCCATGCGATGTCCAGCCCCTGCTCCACTGGACGCTCACAGAATTACCAGACCTGCTGTTCCCAAAGGAACAGTACAAGCCCAGCTTACTAGTTACCCCGTAGGACACAGCTCCGCGTCACATGCAGCACTGACGCTTGTTTTCTTTATAAACAAATCTGTTTGTTTAATAAAGAATAGTGTGTCAAAGTATAGCAAACAGAAATGCTGGGATCAGAGTTACACATACAGTAAAATAATAACACACCTTCTAGAGCCTAAAACTGACCGAGAAGATGCCCTCTTGTCTAAAAAGGTCCTGCTTACCTAAAGTCCTCCTCACAGCTTTTTCAACCTGGATGGCTGAGACCCTCCTTTCATAAATCCAACCCTGCTGGCAGCTTGCCTCCCCTGAGAAAGGGTGCCAGGGCATCTTTCTGCACCTTTAGGTACACTGGGCCACCTGTAAACAGCATCATCATTCCCAATCCTGTTAATTTCTTCTCCTCACATGCAAATAGACTCCCATTGGAAGACACACAATGGTCAGCCAGAGAGAGAAGTGTCTCCCACCTCCTGTCCGGTGGAACCTGTCTTAAGGCGTGTTATCTCTGGGTGAGCTGCCATTAACTGCCTGGTTTTAAGAACATAATTTTCTATATAATACATAGGCACACACACACTTTGCAGTGATTTAAGATGATCGCTGTGACAGGCTTTCAGCACAAACCATACATGGCCCTTTTTGTTAAACTTGTATGTAAATACCAGACCCCTGAGGACCCCTGTAAGCCTTATGCACTCCCGTGCCCCTTGGCACCGAGAGGCCCTTGGGTCACAGAAGGTGTGTAGTGAATGAGGCTGGGCATTGCAGAAAGAGCAAGGCCAATCTCCTGGTTAAAGCAGTGGGAATTGTATTCTCTCTGCCTCTACCACTGAGTTCCTTTGTGGTGCTGGGCAAGTCCCTTAAATCAAACCTGTCACAGGGATGTCACTAACTGTGATCCTCATTTTCTGTGTTCCCAACTTGAAACGCTGGTGCCTGATTTTCAGAAGTGCTGGGCACTTGCAGCTGCAGTCGCTGGGAGCTGTGTTTGGCTACATGAAGTGCTATACAATGCTGAGCACTCTGAAAAATCAGGTCCTCCGTGTCTCAAATTGGGCATCCACAATTACTGGAGGATTTTTACCTTAATCTGTGTCTCTATACCCCATCTGTAAAATGGGATATTTATAATCTGTATTACAATACCAACCTCTTAGATGACCGTGTGTTAGGAAAATAAATTGTTTGAGGCGCTCAGTGCTATAGCGATGAGTGCCATAAGAAAGCCCACGAGGAAATTAATAATTCTGTCTTCAGAGCAGGGCTTGAATAGTGCCCAGTAAGGCCTGGGCCCCACCTTGAACAACGAGAAATCAAAAGATGGAATCACTTCATTCAGTGCGCACTGTCCCTCCTGTGCACTGAATGGGGTCCTGTGTGTAAAACTGCAATTAGTCTGTATCACCTTGAAAAGTGCCAGTGTAGTCAGCGCCTCTCCTGCCAACATGGCTACCGCCACTCGCCGGAGGTGGAGTCATGAAGCTGACTACTTAGAGCGTCGGCTTAGAGCATCTGCACCAGAAGTGCAGCGTTTCTAGTGTAGATGTACCCTGAGTGCTTTTCCCAGCCCTGAGGAAGAGCTCTGTATAGCTTGAAGGCTTCTCTCTCTCACCACCAGAATCTGGTCCAATAAGATACCCCCCTCCCCCACCCGTCTGTATCTTCACACATGCAGGAGAGGGCTGATTTAGGGTTACCCAGGGAACCCTTCCTAACCTGAGTGTTTGACCTAGCAGCCTTTGTTCTTTTCCCATGGTTTGTGTAATATATATAATACTAATAATTCACTTCCAGTATTGATGGTATAATATTTACCTATAATCCATCTTAATGGATGTTTAAGAAATAAGTGTCCTTACCTGTGCAATTATTTGTATAGTAGTAAGTTAGCTGTTGCATCTAGCCACTGAAGTGCCTGGGATGGGTGTGAGGCACCAGAAAGAATCTGGGTCAGCAGCCTGCAACATGCGGCTCTGTTGGTTTCCCTACAGAATCTATCAGTGTAGGTTTTTGTACATTAACCCGGGTAAGCAAAGCCCCACTCCTGAGTCCCCTCCCAAACAGCTGTTATCCTAGGAGCAGGCTAGCAAGCTTGCGTAATAGCCTGTGTTCCTTACCTGAGACAACTAAAGCCATGTGCCTGGGCTGGGAGGGGACATAGCTAGAAGGGCCTGGGACGGTAAGGTGAGGCACTTGAACGCCACAGAACGGAAGAGGGAGAGACAGTGGAAGGATGCGGCGATGGGCAGGAGCTGAGTTTATCCTGCATGCAATTTCTTTGAGAAGTTTCTGATCTTTACTTCTGCTTGGCATTCCTTGCTGGAGCTGAATTACAAACTAAAACCAGTCTTCAAGCCTGTAGATTGCTCAGTGCACAATGGAGCTCCTTGCAGTGCACAGGCATTGCATTGTCTTATCTGCTTGTGCAGTTAATACACGACTGCTTCTCGTTGTGTGCTTTAGTGTCTTGCTAGAGATGCTAGCACATCTCTAAAACTGCCACAGCATATCGCTCTGCCATTGTTGTGTTCCACTTCAGCTTGGCACATGGCTGTCCGTCCATCCTCTCTCTTGAAACTGACACGCTGGCATGCCTGGTCCTTCTCATGTAGGCACCAGCTGAGAGCGGTCTACGTGAGAGTACGGTATTGTCTGCCATAACCATTGCGTTGCTCTCTTGGTGCCTTGTCTGCCATATGAAGGAACTGACAGATCTATGATAATGAAAATGTGCACTTAATCCAGTGCCTGCGCTGTGCATATGCAGCTGTTCAGGTGGAGGGTGACGGTGTCTCAGCTCCAGTTGCGCCTGGGGTTGAACCATATAACTGGTTATCACCAGTGCAGACTGCCTCAAGCTGCCTGACTCGGATACCATAGGAGAGCGTGCTCATTGTGGTAGACCAGGCAAAAATCCCGCATGTGAACAGAAACAGAGTTCTCCGGATTGGTCCTGTTCGCTGTGTAAGGGAAGCCGTATGCTCCACTGTGCGCATGGCAGCACAACTTGCCTTTCCTCACAGCTGTCACGTCCTTGGCAGAAGCAGTGCCCCACCCTGTACCCTCCCCGCCCCCTGGCTTGCTCTCTGCATAAGGGGACAGAGCCATCACCTCAGGCCTATGTGGCTTTCTTTGTGTGGGCTGTTGGAGTACTCTCTGCCTCATGCCCACCTACCCTGCTGCCGACCTGCCAGGGAGTGGGAGCGGAGCTGTGCCACAGCAGGGGTAGGTGCCTGCTACCCCGTTGTGAGCGAACAGGCCCTAGGAGACAGGACCATGCTTAGGACCTTAGAGTACTGGGGCAGTATGTCGGCTGCTCCTGCAGTCTGGGAGAGGCCTGTCGCCTTGTCTGTGACAGCAGGTTCTGTGCATTGCATGCAGCTCTACGGCCTGTCACATAGAGACCTCTTCCTTAGGCGGTAGCCCCTCTGTCCTGTCAAATTAATCTTCACCCCGTGAAGCTCACTGCCAGTCATGCACACCCTGAGCTGGCTGCCATGCTCGGGCTTGTTCATCTCACTCTGGCCCTGTGTTTTTCCACCTGCCCACCTACACCTGGACTAGAAGGTGCACTGCTGGCCTGCTAAAGTCTAGTAGGGTAGGTCCATCTTAATGAGTCTCTCCATTGACAGCATGCACTGCAGGGATCCCTATTCCGCACCTTAATGCCTCCTACTGCAGTAGGTCTGGCAGTGGAGTTGGCTCCCCTTGCCATACCCTTCTCAGTGCAGATCTAGTGGGACTGTTGCACCTTTTCCGCTTTCCTTGGCTGGATCCCCTCTACCATTGTCTGGTTGGAGGAGGAGGAGTTTGTTTGTTTTTATAAATATTGTCTCCACTGTGGGACAACAAGAAAGGAAGAGCCTTGTGGTTTGGGGTGCTATAAAAACAAAGTACTGCTTCCAATATTAATCTTTTATACAGATATTTATTGGTGCAGGCTGGCTTCTGTACAGACAAGAACAGCAGTACTTGTGGCACCTTAGAGACTCAAACAAATTTATTTGAGTCTCTAAGGTGCCACAAGTACTCCTGTTCTTTTTGTGGATACAGACTAACACGGCTGCTACTCTGAAACCTGTACAGACAAGCATCATCTGGTTTGTGCTGGATACATTTCCATTGTGTGGGATAGCTTTCCTAAAGCTGAGTAGGAGTAATGGTAAACTGACCGTTATGATGTTGGCCTGGTGAGAAAATCAGAGCTGAATGTAAGATGACTTTCAGGTTTCTCTCTCCTTGGTGCACAGGAGAAGGGAGATCTGGTTCATGTTCATAGCTCATATTTTGGGGGCAACTCAGGTTCACGCTAATGAACTTCAGGGTTATTTGCAGCCTGTCACCTAATTAGACTTTCTCTCTCTCTCTCTCCACAGAGTTCATGTATTAGTTTTACCTACTGGAAAGAGACTGTATCTATACTGCTTAGTCCCGACCGGACATCACCCTGTGCCATAGTTAGCTATATTGACGAGGCGTATATGGACATTGACAGAGATTTTACTGAGGAGTGATTCTTCAGACTGGCTTCGAATGGACGGCGCTTGGAGGGTATCTGGCAGATGGATTTTCAGGGATACGCTGCGTAGTGTGTGCGTGTGTGTGTGTGCGTGCGCAGGCTTGGAACCATGGATGTTACTGCTTTGTTAAAGACTCTTCCCCCACCTCTGATCTCTGAAGGACAGGACTTCGTAAGCTATCTGGGCGACATATTCAGGGACGGAGCTTCCAGTTGTTTTGGGATAAAAATAATCACCTGCAAAAACCTAGCCTTTTTCTGGCACCCCCAGTGTAGCGTGGCTAGACAAGGATACTCCACATTAGTTGTGGCTTCTCCTTGTGGCCACCCGAATTAGCAGGTTAAAAAGCACAGGAAAGGCCCCAGGCCGTCCAAACCAAGGCCTGATAGGCCAAACGCATGCAGATGCCCCCCACACATCTACTAGGCGCAGTCTTTTCAGGGTTGGGTGTGTCGGGCTGTGGGGATCAGGGTGGGTTAGATTGGGTGTGGTTTTGAATTCCTGGATGCTGTAGCTCTGTTCACCTTTTTACCATCCACTTTTGGATTGTTTGGTGATAAATCTGTTTAGCCCACGGCTGTCTGTGCTGTTCCATTAGGAGGTAACCTCTGCTCCTGCTCTCCTCCAGTGGCTCCTTCCTGTCGGAAGGGGTTCTACAGTGCTGCAGAGAGCAGCAACGTTTCAGTGAGGAGGAAATTGCAGTCTGGGGACTAGCTTTGACCAGGCTTTAACACATTAAAATTGACTGATTTTTAAACTTGTGGCTTGTCCCTTCTTGGGTTCCTAATCTGGTTTTAAAATTGCCTTCAGGAGCACTGCTTTTGCTGCAAGGTTCTCCATCCTTGAACACGGCTAGTGCTAACTGGAAACCTAACACCGGAGTCTAAGCTTGCAGTCTTCAATACCTTGAATCCGCCTACCAACATTAATTTTGAAGTGCAATATTTACTTGGAGATGTCAGATTTTTCCTCGAGTTGTTGTTTTAATCACAGTAACACTGCTAGATGCTGGGAATAAAAGACCCTTTGGTCAAAATCACTTTGTAAAGTACGTTTTTAAAAAACAAGTTTGGCAAAAATCTGTCTGCTTTGCCTGAGCTTGCGATTCCTAATCAACAGCATCAGACCAGGTCGTTCAAAGGCAGGTGCTGGATGTGGCCCGAGATTTCTTGGAATGAAATAAGTCAGTGCAGTGTTGAGCCGCTGCATTTAAAGCAAATCTCATGCCTCTGTGGCGTACATTGAGACCCATTTTCCTATTCTTCCCCCAAATTGTACATGTGAATTTTAATTATTTAGATGTTAAGTTTACACTAATGTATGGTAGCTCAGACAGCCACTGGGAAACATCCTTCAAACATATTGCAGTGAGTGCAAGTGAGGGTATCCCTGACTTGCAGTGTCCTCCCCTTCTGTGACCAGCACCTCCTTCCCCAAGACTTGATCTGCAACCAGAAGGAAAGGAGAGCAACTACAGGGTAGCCAGTCTGGGCACAGACACACAATGGTTGTCTTAATGTGTAGGACCTTTGCCAGCAAAAGGGATACAAATCTTTGGATCCCTGAAGCAAGGTTTGAACGTGCAGGGCAGATGGTCAGCCCCTGACATTGGATTGTACCGTCTGAAAAACTTGATTCTGAAGAGTGTTGACCTGCTTGTAATTGAAGTCACCTTTGAAATGGCTACACTGTTAGAACTGAGTGAATGCTGCAATGCCCAGGCTAGTCTTAATCCACACTTTGGTGTCCGCCCCGTGCGGTTCACATTCAGACTGACCGATAAAACGGAGAGTCAGGAGCAAGGGGCCAACAAGTTCCAAAACTGCTGAGCCAGTGCATCCAACTGGAGCTTTAACCGAGTTTATAAGGAGCTATTAATGTCTTCCCCCTGCGGGATTTCCTTCCCCTAGGGAGATTTTACTTAAACACACAGCTCCAGTAGATGCCATTCCTCCAAAACGAGTCGACACATTGGGAGAACCTTTTGCCATGGCAGCTGCAACTCTCTTCATCAGCTTTCCCTCGGGAGCAAATTTCTTTTCCATCTGTCCTTGTTTGTTTGTTTTTCTTGGGATATTTTTGGGTTTGTGAATCTTTGCTTATTCTTAACTGTAATAGATGTACACTTAAAAATAAATGCTTCAGATGAGAAGGCGTTGAAGTTACAAGAATGCCTTTTCCCTAATCCAGCTAATTGTTACATCCAAAGATTGATGCTATAAATCTGCAGAGAATAGATTTTACTCTTAACTTAATCTGTGTATTTCTGGAACTTGCAGGTAGGGGCCAAGCTGTTTGCCCTTGTTTTAGACATCCCCCTCATCATGTGTTTTAGCAGCTCCAGGGTCTGAGCTTGGAGCCAGGCTCTTTCATCACTTGGTTCTGATTGAACTGGCTTGGTTCGGACAGGTGCACAGAAGCAATCTCTCCTCCCACGAAGGAGCTGAGCTGGTCTGGTCTCCCTGGAGGGAAGGCTCTGTCTGATTTATGTGAAAGGACAGAGGATCCTTCATAAACTGAGCATTTCTAACAATTTTTTTAGCTTTATTTTAAGGCACTAAATAGGCTGGGGTTAAAGCTCACACTCATGCTCTCTTGGCTTCCATGGAACTCTTCGTTGGCATTAGCCGCTCGTATAAACCTACCCTGCAAGTGGCCAGAGGTGGCTCGATCCTTCATTCCTACTGTGGTAGCAACCTGTTATTCAATGAAAATGTCTGAGGAATGGTGTGAGGGCAGGAATGTTAACGTGATGGACCAGAGAGCTCGCTGATGTTGCTGCTGTCGTTAGTGTGGTTTTCAGCAGCTCCGTTGGGACTGTTGGGGGTGGCGGTGGGATCCCAGCTGGTTAATGTTCCTGGAATTCTGCACTATCCCAAATGCATTGCTGAGGTTTTTGCTGCCCGGATTATTGCCAATTTACTAACTGCAAACAAGCGTATTAAATGGAAACTATTAAAGAACTCTATTTTAAAAGAAATGGGTGGAGAGATGTCTTTCTTTATAGGGGTCTGGCCTACTGTGGTGATAGGATCTATGCCCTATCCCTGCTTGAGTGCAACGCTCCCTCTTAGGTTGTGGTCCTCTCCAAATGCCTATGGGTTCACTGGCATTGTGCTCGCTCTGGTGTTCGCCCCTGCCTTGGGTGCTCTCTCGGCTGAAGTCTAAACTCCCTGCTGGATGGTGGGTGAGTGCTTGACATTTTAACACTTTTGAACAATCATCCCCTGCACAATTTGGCTGTACACAAGTTATGTAAACCAGGTCCAGACAGTCTGCATGCAGTTCAATGTACCCCATTTCTGAACCACTGGTGGGTAGGGCCTTATGCAGTGACCTTACTTGTCTAGAGCACCGTAAGCCTGCCCACTGCCTTGCACACTTGCAAGGCCCAGGGTGGTGACCCCCAAAAAACTCACTGTCTAAACAACTGCCAACAGCTGTGAACAGGAGAAAGCGCTTCTGAGCAATGGCTGTCTTGGAAAGTCTCCTGCTGCAGCGGCCAGGTGGGTGCGGGGAGAGGCTGAGCAAAGATGGGGGGTAAATAAGGCCAGCTGCTAGGTGGGCCCTGAGGAGTGGGAGGCTGCCTCACACATAGGGGAAGGAGGGCTGTTTCAGGCACAGGGGAACACACAAACTGGCTGAGCCTAGCAGGGCTCTTCTGTTGCCCTCTGTTTCTCCAGGGTTTTAAATGCCCTTGAGTGCTGCCTCCTTGGGAACTGCCCTGCAGAGCAGAGAAAGGGAGACTAAAGCCCTGCCCTCTTCGGGCCTGTCTACACTGCAACACCACGCCCATGGCTGGCCTATATCAGACCTTCTGGCTCACGCTAGAGCCCAGGCTCTGAGCCCGAATGTCTCCACTGCAATTTAATAGCAACGTGAGCCTGCATCAGCTGCCACAGGCCAGTTGTGGGTGTTTTATTGCAGCGGAGCTGCACCCTTACTCTGCGTGGATTTGTCCATGCAGCCCCAGGAAAGGGGCCTGTTCAGTAGCGTCTCCCCACTCCTTGCAGCTGGAGAACAGGAGCATGGTTTGCAGTAGTTTCCCCTTCAATATCTGATCTGACTCTGGAATTGCAGCTTGGGGACCTCAGCAGCCCTGCGTTCCCCTCTCCCTTCAATGCTGCTTGGGATTGTTCCCTCGCCCTGAGGACAGAGTCAGGCCAGGCTTACTGCAAAAAACAGTCTCGGGACGTGAACGTGAGTCACACATCTGAGCTACTAGAACGTTGCCCCAGTCACTGCCTTACTGTGTCCTGACAAAGGCAGCCTTGGGGCAGGGGTAACGGAGCTCTTCCAACAATGGACCTGGCTCTGCACTGAAATAGCCACTCCTTTGGCTCCTCCTGGGGCCTGCTCCAATAACTGATCTCGCCGCTCCCCTGGCTCGTGTCCCTCTCGAGCAGCAGCAGGGCTGAAGCACCGTGCTGGGGAGCCAGCGTAGTGTGCTGAGCTGCTGCCAAAGCTGGGCCTGTTCTACTGAGGGTTGGGACTTCCCAGCCAGTGCTGCTCGTAGGGGCTAAATGACAGCTGGGGTTTGTTCGCCACAGGGATACAAACCTGGGTACTGGAGCTGGCCTGGGTGAGCTAAACCAGAGTTAATGGTTAGTACCAAACTCTCCATGGTCCTGTTCTTCGCTCCCATGTCCTCCAGCGGGCTGCTCCCCGCACAGCCTTGTGTGCTGTCAGGCAGCCCCCCACAGTCCCCTCCGGGGCTGATCCCAAAGGATAACTAGGTCCTAGCTGGTAGCAAACTCCCTGCCTCAGTTCTCCTTGCTGCCTAGCTCTTGGCACATTCCTCTCGCAGGCCTGCTGCCAACCGTTCTTGGGCTGATGTAAGCCCCTGTGCGCAGAGCCCCGCTGGGGCTTTCCTCCCACCCCACAGACGGCAAGGAGCCTGTGCTCTTTGGAAGCTGTTTATTCACTCAGCACAGAGATGCAATGACTGTTGCAGCCAGTTGCACCTAACACACAACAGGCAGGTGTGATGGTGGTGGGGCGGGTGCTGCGGCTCCTACTCCTCGTGCTGGCAACAGAAAAGAAACACGGACTCAGGATGTTTGCCTTGCTGGGGTGGAGCAGGGCGCAACCATCCTGCCAGCGGCAGCACCCTCTGCAGAGGTCTGGGCCAGGCACCTCTCTGAGTCGAGGTACATGGCTCACTCCCTGGAGTGGCTGCTGTTTCCATGCATGGACCTGGCCCGATGCAGCGGCTCCTCCTGGCTGGTCTCTGCCTGGCCCCAGGGGGCCTGGCAGTTGAGAGGAGCGGGGGTCTGTGGGCCCATTTGATAAGCCTGCAGCTGTGGGACTTGCTGCCCATAGGGCTGGTGCAAACATGGAGCTGGCTGTAGCCCCGGACAGCTTCTCTGCCCCTCCCCTTCCCTTCTCAGGGCCCACATCCGGGTTAGTTCGGGCCTCGCTGGGCCCCCCAGTGCGCCGCAGAGCCAGGCTCTGCAGCAAGTGCCTTACCTTGGAGGTGATGACGTCCCTGGTGCGGGAGCGCAGCTTGTTCACCTGCGTCTCGGCGATGTCGGCCCGCTCCTCGGCGTCATCCAGCTCGTGCTGCACCTTGCGGTACTTCACCAGGTTGGAGTTGGCCTGCTGCTCCTGCGGCCGGCAGTGCAAAGGGGGTCAAGACTCTCCAAAGACAAGCCATGGCCTGGACTGAGGTGCCAGCCCCTCACTTCCTGGGCAGCTTTGTACATCTCCCTCAGCAGGGGGCGGTGCTGGGATCCTAGGCCCCCTCCACAGACTGGGCAGGGCTGGTACAATTGTCCCCTCCTGTCCTGCCAGCATGTTCACACCTCTGCTGCAAGGAGGGCTCCCCACCGGAGTGGCGAGGACCCCGGCTGGCTTGGGCCTTGGGTTCGCTCTGGTCCCAGTGCTGGGCTATGGGGAAGCCCAGGCTATTCAGGAGCAGGCTGAGCCCTGGCAGGAGAGGGGTCCAGGCTCCAGCCCGGCAGGAGAAGGGCCAGGTGTGTCCTGCCTAAGAGGGCAGGGGCGTGGGATCTCGGCCTGGCACTTACCGCCTCCTCGAACTGGCGCTTGTAGCTCTTGACCTTGCTCTGCAGTTTGTCAATCAGGTCCTGCATCCGTGCCAGGTTCTTCCTGTCCTCCTCAGTCTGAAAGAGCCCAGCCAGGATTGCTAGTGAGTTGTCAGCCCCTGCCAGCCAGGCTGCTGCCTGCCCCTGGCCTGTCCACAGCTTCCCCTCCCCCACTTTCCCTTACTGGCTGATCTTCTCTCCCCATGGACCCACAGTGAAGATCCACTGCCACAGATCCCCACCCCCTCCCCACAGAGCCCAGGCTGCTCAGCCACTGCTTCCTACCCTGGGGCAAGGAGGAGGCCATCCCAGGGCAGCAGAAGTCAGGAGGAATTGGGGGACTAGGCCAGAAGCCCCATGTTGCCCTGGGAGGGCTGGAAGAGTCTGTGGGTTTTCTTGCAGGTGATGTGTGCTGTGCCCAGGGACTGGGGCCTCCTGCAGGGCAGGGGCTGAGGCTTGGCACCTGGTGCGGGTGGGCCTTGGAGTCTTGTGTAGGGGCAGGCAGGTGGGGCTGGGAGCTCAGTACAGGGGATGGTGGCTGGGAGCCTGGAGGGGGGGGGGAACAGCAGGAGCCTGGTGTGGGAGCAGGGGGAGGCAGGGAACTGGCTGTGGGGGTTGGTGGGAGGGGAGCCCTGCAGGGCTGTACCTGGTAGGTCAGCTCCTTGACCCTCCTCTCGTATTTGCGAATGCCTTTCTGGGTCTCGGCGTTCTTCTTCTGCTCGATGTCCAGCTCCCCCTCCAGCTCGCGCACCTGTGGGCAGAAGCAGGGCGGTCAGCTCTGGGCTCCCAGCTGCCCAGATCAGGCTGAGCTGGGAGGGCCAGGCCCTGGCCTGGCAGCAGGGGAGGAGACCCCACCTGAGCCCAGTCTGCACTTGGGGCCCCTGCCAGCACTTACCCTGGCCTCCAGCTTCTGGATCTGCTTCTTGCCCCCTTTCAGGGCGATCTGCTCGGCCTCATCCAGGCGCATCTGCAGGTCCTTGATGGTCTGCTCCATGTTCTTCTTCATCCGCTCCAGGTGCGCGCTGGTGTCCTGCTCTTTCTTCAGCTCCTCCGCCATCATGGCTGCCTGAGGGGACCAAAGGAAGTGGGGGGTCTGTCAGTGCCTGGGCCGGGCCTCGTGCAATCAGTCAGTGCAGCTGGCAGGAGTGCTGGAGAGGGATGCAGGCTCGTTGTCCATCCCACACCGGCTGCTGATCCATGACACCCCCTTCACCTCAAGTGGTACATGGAGGGCAGCAGTGAACCCCGAACAACCTGAGCTGCTGCCTTATTGTGAGAACCTCGTGGAGCTCAATCAACTTAGCTTAACAAAGAGATGGTTCGGGGTGACTTGATCAGTCTGCAAGTACCTGCATAGGGAACCAATATTTAATACTGGGCTCTTCAGTCTAGCAGAGGAAGGCCTAACAGGATCCAGGATCCAGGGGCTAGGAGCTGAAGCTAGACCCATTCAGACTGGAAATACGGCGGAAGTGTTTACTAGGGAGGGGAATTACTCACTGGAACAATTTACCAAGGGCCCTGGGGGAGACTCCAGCACAGCAGGTTTTGAATCAGCACTGGGTGTTTTTCTACACGTTCTGCTCTTGGGGGGGCCGGTCTCTGGCCTGTTATACAGGAGCTCAGACAAGGGGATCACAGTGGTCCCTTCTGGCCATGAACTCTATGAATACCGGCCTGCTGCAGCACCAGGGTGCATGACCACGCAGGGCCAGCCACCCCCCCCCCCCCACCCACCGCTCCCTTACGTCGGTAATGGCTTTCTTGGCCTTCTCCTCAGCGTTGCGACACTCCTGCACGGCCTCCTCCACCTCCGAGCTCAGCTGGGCGAGGTCCGCCTCTATCTTCTTCTTGTGGTTAATCAGGCCTGTGTTCTGGAGCAGCAACAGGGCCGGGTTATTCGCGGTGGGATGGGACAGGGCCGGGGCTGTTTGCA